AACTGAACCTCTTCAGTCTACAGTATTTTCACCATTTATTAACACATTTCACCACCTGGAGGCCATTTCAAATTGAACCTCTGCATCATTTGGTATCTTTCCACATTCACCTTTGACCTGAGGCAGTGGAGCCAATCCCAGCGCTAATACAACCGGGTACATCTTCAGATCCATGTTTCCACCATCATGCGGAAAGTGGAGCGTTGAACCTCAACAGGGGGAAAATTATGACCAAAGTAAGAATAAGACTGGGGTCAAAACTAAAATCCCAGCATGCATCAGCACTAAGGACCGGGGGGCTTTCCTTTACAACACTGGAGCCTGAAGAAGATCCTGTTGAATCTTAACAGGATTTTAACACAAGGCTGTGTTTTTTCCAATGGTCAACTACATTTATCTTTAAAGAAAGGAGAATATTTACCAGAATCAGTTGTCTTCAGCAGGCAGCCTGATGGCGCAGTACAAGTAGGTCATAGTTTCACATCGTATTTAACTTTGTCCTGTGAATCATTCAGGCATAAAATGACTCCAAAGCCCAAGTGGCAACAGTTGACACCTAAATCACAACCTAATTAGTTTTAAATTGCTTTTTTAGTCACTTTGTGACTAGCAGATTGTAACAAGGACACACTTTTTGGAAAACAATTAAATGTTAACGAGGTTTAGCAGACAGAAAAAGAAAAAAAATGATTCGGCACCAAAAAGGTCGTTTTCAAAGAGCCGTCAGGTGAAAACCAGAAAACAGAAGAGGATGATAAATACCAAGTGATTGCAACATCAGGAAAAAGGAGCACGAGAAACTGGAGAAATACCAGGACCTCAGGGAAGAACTGGAGAGGGCCTGGAAGGTGAAGACCACAGTGATGCCTGTGGTCATCGGGGCCCTCGGGGCAGTAACCCCAAACTGGAGCAGTGGCTACAACAGATCCCAGGAACAACATCAGACATCTCAGTCCAGAAATGTGCAGCAGTCCTTGGCACAGCCAAGATACTGCAGGACCCTCAAGCTCCCAGGCCTCTGGTAGAGGACCCGAGCTCAGAGGATAAGAACCACCCGCGGTGGGTGAGAAGGGAATTTATATATATATATATATATATATATATATATATATATATATATATATATATATATATATATATAAACTTTTTTCTGCTTTTGAACATGTTTCAGTCTTTTGTTCATTAATGGAAAATGTATTACTGTGAATTAATGAGTCTCTTTTAGAAATTAAGGTGTATTTAAAGTTCAGTTAATTTAAATCACAACACATGATGTCTTTACAAAAGAAAGTTAATTTAATTAATTAAATGTGTGTAAAGTCAATTACACACATTTTAATTGATCCTGGTGATCAAACAATGCAGTCAGTTAATATTTGTGCTGCCAGTCTATTAAAAATTAAAATAACCAAATTAATCACACTCTAGTGATTAATTTTATGTGATCATCTTTTTAATCTTCAAATGTTTTCTATAAAGTTCTCATAAACATGCATATGAAAAGTTTTCAGTTTTCTAGATTTTATTTTGTTTCAGACATTGATTTAGAAATGTTAGTTATAAGCTGTTTAAGGATACTTTATTATAAAATACAACCTGAATTTTATTGTTTCACATATGGAAAAATGTCTTGTTAAATAATCTTTCAGTAGAATTGGTGCTTTTTATTAATATTAAGGCATTATTAATTTAATAACAAGCCGTGTTTATTTTAAGAGAAAATACTAATAATACCTGCAAAAAGAAGCAAAAACTCAGTGAGTTTATATGAATCCTCCATACAAATTTTACATTTCTTCATTTGAGCAGAAATGTAAGAAATATGATTTTATAAAAACACATTTACAAAATATTAATGGAAATTTAACTAAAATATGCAACAATAAAAAGTGACAACGTTCAATTAAGTACGGTTTTAAATGATGTTTCTCTCTGCACCGGAAAGAAAACCGGTTTGATATTTAGGAAGATGAAGGTCTGAACTTTGCTGAGTTAAGTAAGAGTGAAACTTATTTGTTTTAAACTAATAAGTCCTCTTCACTTCCACAACAAATCTTATGAACAAAAATATAAATTTGAAAAGCGTTAATGTGGCTGATGCTAAGAATCTATAAACAATCTTCAATATCTTACTGAAAACTTGGTTTTGTCTTTTTCAAGAGTATTAAGATGTTTACACTAGAATCTAAATGACTTGGTAATATAAGCTCTGTTAATATTTTAAAGGTTATTTACCAAATCTGCATAATAACAGGAATCCATCCATCCCCACCTTTGTGGGGTCGGGAGGTGCTGGTGATTACCTGGACAGGTCGCCAGTCTGTCGCAATAATAACAGGAATATTTTACATTTTTGAAATAAGAGGATTCTCCTGGTTGAACAAACGAACAGTTCTAACACTGGGCTGGAGGGAAACATTTTAACCATGCCGTCTTTTTAATTTATCTTTTTTCTGTCGTTGAGCGTTAATTGGTCCTCCTGCCCGCTCTCCTGCTGAGTTATTATTCATTTTGACGTTTCAAATTTTCACTTTCAGGAACAGTTTTGAATAAAGTGGCATAGAAATAGGAAGCGACAGGTTGATTAGACCGTCTTTCAAAGTCTGCTGAGTTCCTCTTGCCTTGGTGAATATTTTAATGTAGTTTGTGACACTCTCTCCATGAATTTGTTACTTTGGCAAAAACGAGAACAAAGTGCTTCAGAAATACCAGTTTTGTTGGTAATTTGTTCTTTTATGAACATAGAATGTCGAGCCATTTGTCTTTCTTTTGTCATTTGATTGCAAACGATGGATGGAGCATCAGGCTGAACATTGCTGGAAGCAGCAAACAGATATGAAGCTCATAAACAAAAATAGACATTTACCCAGAGCATACAAGCATTTGTTCTTGTTCGCCTGAGCGAACAAACTTGCTCCAGAAAAGGAATATTTTCTCTGAAGGGAGTATTAGCGGTGAGGAAGCTAAGTGAGCGAGCTAAGTGAGGAAAATAACTGAGGAAGCTAACTATGTAAGCTAACCAAGTAAGCTAACTGAGTAAGCTAACTGAGGAAGCTAAGTAAGTTAACTGAGTAAGATAACTTAGGAAGCTAACTGAGGAAGCTAACTGAGTAAGCTAAATGAGGAAGCTAAGTGAGGAAGCTAAGGGAGTAAGTTAACTGAGTAAGATAACTTAGGAAGCTAACTGAGGAAGCTAACTGGGTAAGCTAAGGGAGGAAGCTAACTGAGGAAGCTAAGTGAGGAAGCTAACTGGGTAAGCTAAGGGAGGAAGCTAACTGAGGAAGCTAAGTGAGGAAACTAACTTAGGAAGCTAACTGAGGAAGATTACAGAGGAAGCTAAGTGCGGAAGCTAAGTGAGTGAGCTAAGTGCAGAAGCTAAGTGAGTGAGCTAAGTGCAGAAGCTAAGTGAGAGAGCTAACTTCCCCTTGCAGAGCAGATGATTTGGGGCAGAAGTGTGAGTCAGCTGCAGCTGTAGCTGTGACAGCAGCAGCAGCTGCAGAGCATCAAGTCGAACACAGAGATGACTGCCTCCCTCCGCTCGCCGTCATGATTAAAGGGACGTGTTGGATGTATCAGCAGCGTAGCAGCTCATTTGGAAAAGAACTACCATAAATAGCCACTGGGCTTTGTTTTGTTTTGAACAGAGCCACATCTCTCTGGGAATAAATACATATTTTTCTGTGATAAAATACCTCAGAAAAGCTTTCATGCCTTCTGGTGTTTTTGGATTATTACCAGCTAGAATTAAAATGGCGATCAACCAAGCATGTCTCCACTTTAAATTGAGACATGCTAAAAGATGTCCTATTCTGCAATAAACAAAAGAAGAAAGAAAGCTGACCTCAGGGTAAACATCTATTTAACCAAACCACGTCTTTGCTTCTTTGAACTCCTTCTTTGCAAACTTTGTGCAGGTATCTGAAACTTCTCCAGCTCCTTTAGCCTCCTGGCTGCTTTCTGCTTCAGCAATCTTTAAGTTATTTAGCATTTTCCCAATTGGATATGGGTTTAAGCTTTCTGACAAGGTCATTTTCTCTCATTTAAATATGTTCCCTTTAACCACTCAAGTGTATTTATAAGAGAAAATGGTCACAGAAACCATTTTTAATGGAAAACTCCCGTTTGAGTTAAGAAATTATTCAGGATTCCATAAATCCTGAATAATTTTCTTTGCAATGCAGAAATGATCATTCGACGCTGGCATGTTCTGAACCCGATGAAAAACCTGATGAAAAAGCCTTTTTTCAGTCTCATTAGCTCAGAGTAGCATCAGTAATCATGTCTAGCAATGCCTTTTGGTGAACTTTAGCCTTTTTTGTTTTTATTATTTTTTGTTGAAGCAGAGCTGATTTATTGGTTTTGTCTAACATTTTGAACCTTGATCAATATGTAAAAAGATTTGGCTTGTTTTCTAACCTTGTGGGTTTATTGTTTGATCCTGTCCACTCCTCTGTTCTTTAATTATTTATCCGAATAGTCAAAGATACTAATTTGACTTGCATTGTAATTTACAACTAACAATATATGGTAAATAAAGTTTTCCATGAATACGACCATCATACGTCCAAAATAATTGTTCCTGGAACTTTCATTATGCTTCATGCACACATCAGTCAGACTGTAGCTGTTATTAGTATGAATTAAAAGTCAAGGTGAGTAGGAAACATCTTAATTCTGATTTCATTCTTATAAATTGAATGCGCCATCATTACAGGAAGTAACGCTTCCTTGAATTTGTGCTTTCTGTGCATGCTGATGAATGGCTGATTTGCAACCTTTCCACCTCTTCTAAACATGCATCATTAGTTGAAATGTTAATAAATAAACACAACATCCTGAGGTTTATGGTTGGCATCTTGATCTTCTGCAAACATTATTTTTAAAAACACCCAATAAATGACAACTTGTGTACTTGTAGATGACATTTATTTAAAGTTGTTTAAAAATTACTTTTTACATCATAATTAGCCTGAGCGTCCTCTTTGTTTTAAATTATGCAGATGGATCTCTGAAGACTGGGAGCATTGTACCAAAACCTGCGGCTCCCTGGGTTTCCAGATCCGGACGGTTCGCTGCATGCAGTTCCTCCATGACGACACCAGCCGCTCCATCCACAGCAAATACTGCAGCGGGGAGAAGCCGGAGAGCCGGAGACCCTGTAACAGAACCCCGTGTCCGGCCCAGTGGAGGACAGGCGCCTGGTCTCAGGTACTCCAAAGGCTCTCTGACCAGAATAAAACTGAGGCTTGTATAAAGTTCTGTCCTTGGTCTCAGTTCACATCATTGGTAAAATGTCTGCTGGTCACAGCCCTTTAATTCAACTTTTACACTTGCATGTTTTCTAAAATAGCTGCAAACAGATGTGCAATTCCTCAATCGTACAACTTTGAAAAGCATTAGTAGAGCCTCCTGAACAACTTCAAAATTAGTTTAACAGACTGATAACTTCTTGATGCCACCTTAGGGAAGCAAAAGGGAGTCATTCAGTACCAGCAGAGAGTCAGGTTGTGGTGAAGTGTACGGCTGGAGTCACTACTTCCGTTTCCACTAACCATAAAATTGGGCAAATTGAAATTACAAAAATAGATTCACTCAATGGAAACACTTTTTTCACATCACACGAGTCACAGTATCACCAACAGGATGTTACCACTGGCAGAGACGACAAAGAAGAAAACAGAAAGACTAACAAAACCTAAAGATTTGCGCACATTTGTAGCTACTGATAGATTCAGTGTAATAGTTCAGAGGATCAGATCAGAGCAACAGCTACAGTCAGGTGGCTTGGCCATAATGACAGAGGCAAAGTGGAGATAGTTTGATCATGTTGTGAGGTCAGATGGCTGATTCTCTGGAAAGAGGATGTTGGAAAAAGAGGAAGACCTCAGAGAAGATCCGAGGACATGGAGGTGATTGTAGCAGAGGAAGATGGATGGGGTGAGGAGAACAGCTAGAATATGTCTGGACAACACATTTTTCCACTGGATGTCCTCATTTTTTCACGTAGTTCCCTCCTCTGTTTGCCCTCATGCATCTTGTTTTTGATGCCATAGTTGGAAAAAACACTACAAGTAGGTGTTTTGTTTTGCTCCTCATTTGCTGTAAATTTTTAAATTGAAAATATTTTTATGGACAGCATTCAGGCAAAAGGAAGCAGATTTCAATCAGGAGCTCATCTTTCCATCCAGGCCAGCTGGAGATTTAACAGGCAGCCAGCAACATCCTGCAAGGAGCATCCAGCAATTTAACAGCAGCTGCTGTAACCGAATTTAGCTACTGGCAAAAATAACACCTGTGTGACGTGATTTACACTCCATCAATGGTGTCATTTTATTGGATAAGTTCCTCTTAAAACTGTCATTCAGTTCATGGGGTATATTTCTATTATCTTGAGATGATTGAAGGTTCGTTATTAAAGCCAAAATGATCTTACTCTAAATTTATTAGTTCATTAGATGCATCAATATGGGCAAAATATTGTTCTTTTCTGCAGCACTTATTTTGAAGGGCTGTGCATAAAACTGACATAACATCTGTAATGAACATGAAGGAGAATCTTTATTACTGTTGTTGCATTAAAAGAGCTTTAAAAGTATAAACTTTGCAATATTGAGTAAATAATGACAATACACTGCTAAATCAATTAAAGCAAGGTATCAACTTTGCTTTAAAAGCGTTATTATTTGACACTTCATGACCACAGTCATGATTATGACAGCTGTTATGTCAGTCTGACATTCACCCCTTCATTTAAAGTGTTACTGTATTTTCTATATAATAAAGGTTTTTGTCTCTGAGTAATTCAATAGTACACAATGGAAGTAACCAAAGTTACCTACAACTTTAAGAAACTGTTTCAAAAAGTTAAAACAAAAATCAATTCAGTCAATAGAAAGTTGCATCATGAAGTAAATCTGGTTGGAAAGTCTTCCAGTTACCCAGCAGATGAAATGTTTTGGTTGATTCTGTTCCCTGCAGACTCCACCGTTCAGCCCTAACAAAGCGGGCTGGAGGTGAACACAATGTTGTGAGGCATTTAGCTTCCAGGTGGACGTCAGTTTGTTATCCTGGCCAATTACCCAGACGTTCTCTGGCGCCTGTGTGACCTTCCTCCACTAATTTCTGTTCTGTCCGGTTCCAGTGCTCCGTGACGTGTGGAGAGGGGCTGGAGCGGCGCCTGGTCACCTGCAAGACCGGAGATCAGTGCTACGGGGACAAACCCGAGGCGGTGAGGCCGTGCAGACCGGGACCATGTCATGGTGAGCATGTCACAGGTCAGAGGTCATTCAGTGACTTCTGCAGTTTGATCATTTTGACCATTTATCTTGAGGTCCATTTCATTTTTACATGTAAGTTTGTATTTTATTCCTCCCTTAAAGCTGAAGTGTGTAACTTTTATAAAACAAAAAGTTTTTTCCATATTTGTTAAAATAGTCTCCAAGTTGTGAAAGTTTAGTTTGAGACAGAAAATCTGTGAAAAGACTGAGCTCCCCTCCCAGTGCTAACCAGAAACAACCAGTCAGCAGGTCTCAGCGCTGTCAATCATTCCCGTGCACAGCACTGCCCTGTGCTACGCCACAGCTAGCATGAATGCTAAGGCTAGTTAATGGCAGATAAACAATTTCCCTCTAATGGTAAGTTGTTTCTCCACCTTTATTACAATTAGTAGAGAATACACAAGGATGTTTGACAGCGCTAAGCCCCTCCTCCTGGCTCTGATCGGCTGGTATTGGTCGGGATCGGTTCATTTCTTCAGATGGTAATAGTAGCTCAGGTAAAAGATGGAGGACATTGACCTTTTCACAGATTGTTGACAGTGAATATGTCAAAAAAATGTTTATAAAAGTTACATAACCCAGCTTTTAGGTCTATACTGTCAGTGAGAATAAAAACTTAGTTTAAACTAATAATTTATGTTTAGCTGATTTGCTTGCAGACTTTACTGTGCTTTTAGCTGTTTCTGCTGTTAAATTATATATTTTCCAAATACTGCAAATAGTTTCTGTGTCGTGCTTTAATGCATTAGTGGCACAGGAAGAAGGTTTTCTATTATTCTGATAGTTGCTCCGGAGCGGCTGTAATGCTTCCTGAGTGGTTTCGAACACCAGCACATTTCTATTCCTTAAGTATAAAAAAACCACCTACCATTGTGATTCTGACATATGAATAGTGAGTGACAGCGTGAACCGGAGTCACAGTGAAACCTTCCTGGAGTTCATTTGTGCTTTTCTAAGGTGAATCAAGTCACATTGCCTCACACTGCAGCAGAGCTCTGTTTTTCTGAAAGTGCAGTGAGTGACTTGTGTATAACCTCCATCTCTGAACAAAAGCAGCACTTCTCTGCTCTGCGATGCGTTTCCTGTTAGTGTGATATTTACCGAGCCGTTGTTGTCTTCCTTTTGTCTGACTTTCAGATGAGCCGTGCAGTGGAGACAAATCCATCTTCTGCCAAATGGAGGTGTTGGCAAGATACTGCTCTATTCCAGGCTACAACAAGCTGTGCTGCGAGTCGTGCAGCAAGCGCACTGGAAGTTTGTCTTTGTTCTCGGAGGCGGCGGAGATGGAGGAACACGTCCGCTTCGGGTCAGCCTCCCAGCTGCTGGAGACATTAATGGCCAACGCCACCGACAGCAGGAAGCAGAGCTCAGGAAAAAGCAGCGCTGCAAAACACATCACTACCCCAGCGCCGCTAAAGAAAACCCAGCCAAAGATCTCCAAAGCACCGAGGAGAGTCCCACGAGATTTACCCCTCACCCCGTCGCTCCTCAAGGAGCCAGAAGGTCAAAGGTCAGGTGGTTTGACGGGGAGCCAGCAGCCTACGTCATACTCTAAAGTTGAGAGATGAAAGTGAAGCGTGTTCCCTTTAGGACTCCTCATGGACAGTAGATTTTCCAGCCTCACCAAATACACCACAGAGAGTCGGAAGGTGAAAGGAAAAGTGCTGGTTCACTTTGTTTTTATCGATATTATCGCCCCCTGAAATGGACTTTAAATACGACGACGCTGACATGCCAGACAGCACCCTTAGTCTTTGAGCTGAAAGAGTTCAAATAGAGGCACACGCGATCCAAAGGGAATTTCGTTCCAGTCAAATTACAAAACGGAAAACTGATAAAGAGGCCTCTGTCAGTTTGTTAGTCTGAGTCCAACATGTAGTTTTCCAAAGAAATTGCTGCTTTATCCAAACACAGTATTGAAGTCTGGATTTTGGTCATCTTAAACAATCAAAACTTCAGTGAGATTTTTGATAAAGTTCCCAAATTGTTGTTCTGATTGGTTTATTTTTCAGTTTCTGTCAAAAATAATCTGAGGGCCTTTTAGCAGAAGCCAATTTCACACTGCAACATTCATTCTTAATAAAATCTGCTGCCTCCCACAGACATTTTAAGACTCCAACAACTAAAAACGACTAAAAACAAACATTAAGAAGAGTTGAATTATTTCTCATCTCCTGTTTTGAATCTGAATTGCTTTAACACAAAGATTTAGTTTCTGTTTTCTGCTGTCATCTGAATTTAAAAACCAATCATACATTCTGTTTATTTCGTTTTAATAATCTCTTTAATAGAAATATATATTATTTTGAGTTTTGAAATTGAGCAGTGTGTGCTTAAAGGTTGACATTAGGTTTTAATAGAAAAAAGAAGAAAATAGCTGCAGCAGACAGAGCTAATTAAATCTGTGAAAGGGAAAATTTCAAGCTGCATTTGTGAGGCAAGAAAAAATAAAATGTTTTGAACTATTAACTTCTGTATTAGACATGCATTAGACACTGCTCTTCTTACTAAGGTTTTTTTTTGGAATGCCTTAATTCAAAAAGACGTGAAGTTTTAACCTTTAACTGCCATTTTTCTTGCCAAAAAAACTGAAATATTTAGAAACTTGACTTGGTCAATTATGAGAAGAATTTAAATAATAAAAATTCATCAAAACTAACTTGAAATGTGCTAAATGTTAGCCAGCTTTGTTTTTTTAGATGTGCTGCATGTTAATTTCTATGACAGTATTTCTACAGTTTTCTGTGAATATCGCACCTGAGAATATTAGTATTACCTTGAGAAGTCAAGAAAACTTCGAAATATTCCCTTTTGCTGGCTTAGTGTGGCTAGCATGTTCAATACTGCTGCAGTCAATATCAAAAGGAACGAAAATTAAGTTAAAATATTTAGAACATGTACAAATATTCTGAATCTTTTCTTGTTACAAATATATTGGTTTTGTGTTTTTGTTTTTATGAACGGTGGCATCCTCGATTCTAGAGCTTAGCTTACCGTAAAGCCTCCATCTCTGTCCAAACATTAAATCTAGCATCTGAATCAGCCACGTTCCCCAAGTTAGTGCAAACATCAAATAAATTTGACTTTGGTTCCACTGTCAACATATCACTTTTATTTCATTTTAAAAAGCTTCACAAAGATTAGCTTCCTAGATACAGCGTCTGCAAAAAACATGACATTTCTGCACAGAAGAGCTGGATTATTGCATGAATCCAGAACATTTCGACTTGAAATGTTAAAAAAGTGAATCAAATCAGACACATACTCACAAGGTCACCCTGCTTGTGCTTGTTTTGACATTTTGAAATGCTCCTAAAACAAACATAGTTTCACTAAATTCTCATGAATATTTCTGGGAGCTTTAACTCCGTGTTGACATGATCACATGACCCTTGCTGCAGATTTATCAGATTTTATTAGACGTGAAATCCCTGTTTCACCTCATCCCAAAGCTTGGAACCAGAGGCTGCTAAGTTACAGTTTTATGCAGCATGAAATTGAGTGTTTTGGTGCTGAAGCAACAAGACTTACCAGGTGTTATGGAGTCCAGCATAGAGACAATATCGTCTCACACCATTAAACCAGCAGCAGACTGAACTGTCCTGTTTTATCTGACCTCAAATCAGGACTTACTTCGAGAAAAATGTGTATTTCTCCAGTTTTGGTGAGCTTGTGCGATTTTAAACCTGTTTCTCTTTTTAAACTGATAAGACTCATATTATAATCCATGAGCCTTTGTGGCTATTTGAGCTATCGTTCCCTTCTTATCGTCTTTATCTTCTACCCGTTCTTTTCTGGTATCAACCAGGCCTTTTTGTTCGCACAGCTGCTACTTACAGGGTATTTTCTGTTTTTCTGGCCATTGTGAATCTAAAAGATGACTGTGCATGAAAATCCTGAAATACTCAGACCATCCAACAACTGTGCCAAGTTCAAAATCCTTTAAATCCCCATTTTGTTCCCCATACCTAGTTAGTTTAAACTTCTGTCTAAATAAATTGAGTTTCTCCCTTTTCTGTGACTGATTTGAAATTTGAGTTGCTGAGCTGGTGCAGCCAATCAACTGGCCAGTGATTATATGTCTCATCTGATAAACTCTCGTTCAGATCGCAAGTCTTAAAGACTATTTGAAATTTTCTAAATGAGGCTTTAATTCACTTATTACTAAATTAACAAACTGGCTTCACTTGTTTTTAAAATGACAAAAAATGTGTTTTGTTCTGAGAAATGATCCAGCCAGCACCTCTTTCTTGTTGTTTTGACAGTTTTAACAAGCCTCTCGTTTTAACAAGCCTCTCGTTTTGACAGAAAGTGCTAAAAACTTGGCAGACATAAATTTCTGTTGCTTTTCTGAATACAAACAGCTATTATTTCCAAAACATTATGTAACAGCTCATAGGATAGACATCACATGAGCTGCCTTGTATGCACACATATTAAAGAAATTCAGGTGATGGAGATCTAAAAGAGATGAAATGAAGCAATGTTCTTTTTTGGAACATCAAGTCCCGTTGCATCTGTAATGTGTTGGAATCAAAGATGTTTGATTATGTTCTCAAACTTGTTTTCTTCTTATTTTTGTTAGCTTGTTTGGTTTTGTTTTTAGTGCCCCAAATTGGTCAGATAATGATTCACTAGATTAATCAGAAAGTAGGTCATGCCATCAGTTTCACTCTGTTTCTAGCCTCCAGCATGCTGAGGTGAGTGAATCGTCACCACTGGAAACAGTGTCATTGTTTCCAAAAAGTCATTTTTTGTAACTTGGCTTATCTGGGGGCCAATTTGTATGCATCTTATTGTATTTATGTTGCAGTGTTAAGTGCGTTGTAATGTGGTGACAGCATTATTTTTCTATTTCACCTCATCTACGTATTCCGTTAAAATGAATGTCAGATGCGCTATAGAGTATAAAATTAAGTTATTGTTAGAGTTTTCAAATATTTTTCTTTTAAACACGCTAAGGTGCTGATTTTTTTAATCAAGGATTTTCTAATTTGCTAATACTTTGTGATAATATTGATTAAGGGCATTGTACTGGTGCTTCAGGAACCAAAGGGCTCTACAGAGGGGAATGTGCTTTTATTTTTTATTAATCCTACATAAATACTTAATTTATGTAGGAAATAATTTAATTTTTACTTTCCTCTACTTTTTTCTGTTCAAGTATTAATGCCGAGCTTAATTTCAGCTGTTGGATAAATATTTTTATTTTACCGTGTTATTGGAAATCAAAAGTACAAACATGTGGACCAGAACAAAAAAAACTGTTCAACCTCTATTAGAAAGAATTTACTTTATAGCAATTTAACTTGAATAAATATATTAACTAATTTAATGGATTTACAATAAATACTTACTCATTCCAGTTGATTTATTGTTTTAGAGCTTGACGAAAAAAAGTCTAGAACTCAATACAGTTCAAAACGTTCAAGTCTAGGTTCATTTTTTTTACAGGATAAAAGCCAAACTAAACACAATAAGCTGGACTTTCAACAGAATCTTACTGTTTATAAAACCTTTTTTCTCCTAGATTCTTTAATAATCGCTTTTTTATGACGAACTGAAGTTCTGCAGAGAGAAAACTAATTTATTTCTGAAAAGGATTTCCTAACTACCACCATGCATCTGACTGCAATAGCCAAAGACACGGTTTTGTGTTTTCAGCAAATAGTTTTCAGCTTTTCACACTCACTCCTGTGTGCCAATGTACAGTAAAACATGTATATAGCATTGAGTGGATAAATATTTATTGAAAGTCAAATGGTTCTGCTTTTTTACAGTCTGTGCAGTGAACTGCAGCAGGTACATCATGGAAACCGAATCACCTTCTTTTGTCATTCAGATAAATAAATGTGATAGAATAGAAACAACTTTGTGTTTTTGCATTTAGTTGTAAACATACAGGCTCAGTTTTGAGTCATTTGTCAGAAGGCTGTTTCTTTTCTCAGCTGTTTTGTAGATGTTAAGAATCGTGACTGTACATCACAGCAGCATGTACTGACTGATCAGTTAATAAAAGGTGTTTTATGCTCCTTGACATTTTTTTTTGTTTGTTTTACATTTTCCTCCCCAGTTCCTTGTTAATTTCTGCCTTTAAAAGTTGCTGCTAATGTTCTAGAGAGCCTGATAATAGTGTAGTTGTAGGTGATAAATGACAATCCCTGAGCCGCAGACAGATGTTCTAGCATAGGATTCTCCATGTACTGTATCAACGCTGTTGTTTTATCCGTGCTTTCAAACACCGTTGGCTTCTCCTCTGTTTTGCTTTGTATTGTTTGTGTAGATGGAATTGCACACTACTGATGCTGTTTGTTGTACTGGGGAGCACATAGCAATAAAGGATTTGATGAATTAATGGGATTTCTTGCTTTTACTCTTTCTGCTTTTTTGGGGGGGGCGGGGGTTTGTCAGAGAAACATCCGTTCTTCTTGCAGGGTGGCGTCAGAGCTGGTGGCTCGCTCCAGAGGTCATCGGGTCAGAAGCAGGTCATGCATGCAGACGGAGAACAGCTCCATTCAGAAAGGCAACATCTATTATAAGCTGTTTGCCATGAAGATTGAATAATTTCTCAATCAAGCATGAAAGAATGAAATCAACACATTTATAACATGCTGTCAAGCTAAAAGAGGAAGAAGAATCTATTTTTCAGACTCATCTCAGTTTTTCCCAGAAGACATGCAAACTTTAAGGTAACATTCTGTTAAGTTAAACTCCTTGCTAAGGTCTCGCTACGTTTTATATAAAAGTAACACTGCATTTCAGAAAAAGAACACCAGCAGTAAAACACGGTGGTGGTAGTGTGATGGTGTGAAAGCACCAGAGATCAGGTCTTTATGAATGTTTTTAATTATTTAAAAAGCATTTTAATTGTGCAACTACTTGTAATTGTTGCCTGTTCTGCTGCTTGGCCAGGGCTCCCTGGTTAGATAAAATATCAAATAAAAATTTCAGTCTTCAGATATTGTCTCTTCCTTCCTGCTACCCAGAGGAGCTATATTTATCCTTAAGACAGGAGTTCAGACTTTGTTATATCTCTGCTTTCATAATTTTCTGCTTGCTGGTTTTTGTTTAAAGCACCAGAGATTTAGACCTACATATTTTTATTTTTTCACTGACAGATACTCACTGGTTAAAGAGAAAATCCCAGAGAATCACTCGACTGTTTATCGCTTTGTTTTCCACTTTAAAGATCCTGGCCATGTTTGAAGAAATCAGTCTGTCAAAAACCCCATCAGAAATGTGTGTTTCCTTTCCTATAAATCAAGGTGTGTGCTGCGCTGTGTGTCTTAAAGCAGCTTGCATATGCAGAGCTGCATTATAACCAGGCTCTGACTATTTTTATATCCGTAGCTGATGTACAATAGAATCAGTAGCAGGAACTCAGAAGGTCAAAGGAAAAGGTTTTAATTGTCTATGGGCCCTTTGGCTCAGAAGAGAAACATTTTAACAAAGGCTGTTGAATATTTTAACATTATCTTCCTACCGTTCAGCAGACGCAGACCTTAGGTTATGTCTTCTCCTTAAATAACTGGGAATATCTTCAAAATCACATTTTAAATATCAATAAATTGAACATATATACACTGTATTTATTCTCAACAAAGATTACATAGTATAAGCAAGTGGTGTAAATGTATATTAGGTGACGTGTTTGTTTCCTGCATTCTTTATTTCATCTCTTGAAGAAAAGATTAACTTAAATTTCATGCAAGAATTGGGCATCTATATCATTCATTGTAGTAATTCAGTTCAAATAATAAAGCGCATAAATAAAAGGCCCAAAAATGTCAGCCGTCTTGAAAAAGGCACTCATTCTGAAATTCAAGTTGCGAATGGGAAATAAAAAACACCTCCTGAGGGGTGAAGATGCTCATTTTTATGCTTCTCTCCTCACTTTTTTAACTGCAATATGCTGCACTATGGAGGTTCATTAACTGTTAGTCATAATCATCAAAATTAACGACAGCTGACACTTAAAATACATCATTGAGAGGAATGAGTCTTTATGAGGGTTTTACCTTTTTAAATTGAATTGCTGACATGAGTGAACTCCCTGATGACAATCTAATTTATTGGGATGCACATAATGATGTCTTCTCATTCTTTTTTATTTATCAAATATATGTTATTTTCATGATGGCTATCGTAGATCAGCCTGCAGCAGCGCAGTGTGCTCAACTTTGCTGTCGCGTTACTGGTTTTAATATCCTGTCACATTTCATTTCTTTTACTTATCTGATGAGCCAACAAGAAGGATGCAGTTAACAGAAGAACAGTTTGCTACTCCAGAGTCACTGTCACTCTTTCAATATCATATCACTCGTTTTCCAGCGTTAATTAGGAGCCGCCATGATTTTTCTTTCTTCTTTATTTTGGTGCAGCTACAGTGAACCCATGACAGAGTATATAAATGAGTTTGCAAAATTGAGGACTGACCTCACCAGATGTTTTTTACAAGCCCAACTAAATCTCAAGCTAAAATAATCAGTTTTTTTATTATTATTAACTACAAAAATAATAACATATCTAAGGATAAATATTTTTTCTTTCAAATCTAACCAGTGTTGATCTCAGTGTGCAGAAATGTGTTGATGCGTCATTGGGTTAATTCTCATTTTGATGGCCTTAGTGTCATTGCAGTTCTGTAAAACTTGTGAGAAAGAAGCCACTCACCCAGATCCATCCTGCTCCAAACTCTGGCACGCTCATGGTGTTAATTGGTGATGCACTCTGAACAACAGGCTTCTGTCTCAGACTGTGCAGGTGTTGGACAACACTCTCCTTACAACATGGCACAATTGGCCCCTTTACACAGTTGGCCCCTTTACAGTGAAATTTATTATACTTTATTATTCTACATACCAACACCTATTAATCTTCGTCCAAAAACAAATCATTTAGTTATTACCTTTTTCCATGAATGTGAAGCTTTTGTTTTTTTTCAGGGTTTTCTTTCTAATTGTTGAGTATTGATGTTTATGTGAGTTTTCAGTATCATTGCCAGGGTTCATATGGATACTTAATCTTTTAAAATGCTTGAATTTCAATTAGGTGTTTTCAAGATTTGGAAAGTGCTCATTTTGTAGTAAAGACTAAATTTGAAATTGAAATTAGATATTTTCTAACCACTAATAAAAACAATTTATTTCTCATTCCGCTGAAGTTAAAACGGACTGAACCGTATTGTTGTAGGTCAGTTAGAATTTCATCTATTTTGCTTCGTGTCACTTTAAATCCAAATAAGCTGCTGATGGCCACGCCCCCAACTTAATGTTTACACGCGC